GGTGCTGCTGACCACACTGATGCAGCCCAGCCTGAGCCCCAGGAGGTTCCAGAAACCGCAAACACAGAGACGCGTGGCCTTGGAGCTGCAGAGAATGCATCTGCTAGCTCAAAGGGAGAAAAAGGCAGTAGTTTAAAGGGAACAAAAATACCCGTACTTCGAGATCCCCCTGAAGCTGACTGCAGAAGTAGCCCTGGTGACCTCGTTCAGTAGCCCTTGTGTCCTCGTTCATCAGGAGGTAATAGACAAAACTGTGACAGAAGAGAAGCAGATGTACCTAGAAGCTGGTGTGGAATATAAAGCCCCTCTTTCTGCTTTGCATACCAAGAACCATCTGTCAGCAATAGAGGGTTTCAGAGGTCACAATGAAGGGACATCCAAAAATTACCTAACCAGCATACAAAAGCTTCGAGAGAGCAAGGAGCAGATGGCTGTAGTTTCTGAGCCCATCCTGAATGCGAGGAGGGACACCGAGCTGGCGCTGCACCAGTTCTTGCTCCACACCTCCAAAAGCCAACCCATCTGTCTATCCCAGGCCTCTGGCAGGAGCACGCCGGCAGGTGCCGTGGGCTTGGAGTGGTTTCCAGACTTGTATCCTAATTATGATGGGCTGAGTATTTTTCCAGGGAAGCCTTTCCAAGAAGGTGTGGGGATCACAACGAAGACACCAAAGGGCAATGTCTCAGAGGGGCAGCAAGGTAACATGAGAAATGAAAGTTTCTGCTGCTGAGATTTACTGCGCTGTCAGGCTAAACCGTCTGATGTGAATGGGAGAGGAGGGGTAGGAAACGCTAAGCTGCTGGGCTTGTGCAGAAAGTGATCCAGAAAGGATCCAAGGAGGTTAACTGTCCAACCCTCCAGCCTGCAAAACCAGTGGTTTACATTTCTATTTAGGTTTAAGACAGGCTTTTGCATGTTTGGGCTGGTGGAGCCAACTCACTTTGTGGGAGAGACAATTTGCTCTTCCTTTCTGAGCAGTCAGGCCCAAGTCTCTCGCAGCTGTACCAGATACCAGCTCCGTGCTCACCACCCAGCGCAGGGAGCACCACGCGCTTTGCCCTCACTTCCCTGCCTTTGACCGCTCTGATGTCTCGTCGCACAGGTCCCCTCTCAGAGAGGCGTCTGATGGATGTAAGGCTGGGGGAGCTGCCCACCTGGCTGGCCACCTGCAAGTTATCTCCCCAGGGGCTGCTCAGAGGAGTGCGGAAAGGTAAGGCTAAATTCCCAGCTCTTGGGGCAGAATTGTCCCGCTTACCTGATTTACTCGCTGCAGCCTGGTCCAAGTGGCCAGTCTGGCTCTTTATAAAGAAGTAAATAGACCCAAGCATTTGGCTTTGGAAAGTTACGTGAAAACCAGTGAACTCAGTAAGACCTGCGCATGATTTGACCCTTGCATTTCTGTTCCAACAGCCTGGAGCAGCTATTATGACAAATACATCAATGTGAAGAGGGGCGGACCAGCCGGGGTCTCCATGCTGCTGGCTGGATACTGCCTCCTCAGCTATGGCTGGAACTATCAGCACATCAGTAAGATTTCCTTCTTGGTATCTGTCTTATTTCAGGCAATTCCCCCTTTTGCAGCAGGTGGAAAGTCTATTTGCCATTCAGGCTCTGAAACAGTTTAAATACTTCACAGTTAAGACTAATATCAGAGCCCCGAGAACAGTATTTTGACCTGGCTTGGGTAGGCAGAGGAATTTAGTTAAAGTGGGTGATAACAGTTGCTGATTCACAGCTTCTCCCTGGAGAGTGCCAGGAACCGTCAGAAGCACTTTTAAACCCTGCACGAAGCAGAGGGAGGAGATACTCCAACACTAAGCACCCATTCCCTGGCTTTACTCATAACTGACAAGGGATTTACTGGTGTTTGTGTAGTTTCCCCAGCAGGACTTGCTCTCCTGCGCAGCTCTACAGCACATTAAAAGAGAAGGCTGCAGTCAGTCTCCTGCTTATCACTGCTGGGCAAAGCACACTCATGTAGTCCCCGAGCACAGCACTGTGCTAACACTCTTCTGGTTTTTTCCCTGTAGAGTGTCATCGCTGGCGTAAATACCACTGAAGCAGCTGGAGCAGTACCAAAGGAAGAGTCGCAAATATTTGATTGGGAGTCAGCAGAAGTGCTCAGGACCAGTGTCCCAACAGGAATTCAAATCAGCAGAGGCCCATTTACTGTCAGAGACAGGTTCTTTAATTGTTGAGGGGGCTGCTTTTCTGTTACCCTCCTGCAGACAGGTGACACTGACAGTAACAGCCTGTGGTCACTGCTCTGTGGTTCAGGCAGCATTTAGTACTGAAAGAAGAAAGTGTTAGAGCCGCCCCTCGGAGATCTGTATGCAGTAGAGCTCCTATAGTCTGCAGGAGCCCGAATCTCTCACTTTGGGACACCAGACACAGGACAACTCCTTGACCTAGGCTGATAATATAGATTTATTGACGTGTACATTGTAGTCTGAGTGTTTGGCAGTAAGGTTTGCGATGGGTTGTGGCAGGGTGGCATTAGGCCAGACTAACCATTCCCTTTAAGTTAGCAGAGTTGTGCCCAGCACAGCCCATCTTTCAACTTACCCCTCTCCACAGCGAGCAGGATGGGGTTTGCTACTGACTGGCAGGAGAAGGGTGGTCCCTGCAGGACCCCTTCCACAAAGGGCCCCCAGCCACTGCTCCGCTGTCAGCGCAGCGCTGGTGGGACTGCCCGGGCTCTGAGGGAAGGATCTTTGTGAAGGCTTTAAAGCAGCAGCAGCGCTCAGACCGCAGCGCCCTATTTCTGGAGGAAGAAAATCCATTGGATTAACTGTTGTGCCCGAAGGGCAAACCGATGTCTGCATCAGACAAATGAGGACAGTTACGAGAGTGCTAGTTGTAGCCTGCCATCACCAAACATGTCTGGAAAAGGGTTGGTCATGTTACAGGCATGAAGGGCAAAACAAAAAAAGCCAAGAAAAAAAGGAAATCTGAACTCTTTATTCAAAGAGCGGTGCAGTAGTACTGTGTCAGAGGTGTTTCACCAAAAACTCCCTCTTCCCAGCAATAAAAGCTTTTGTGAATTTTCCTTTCCTGCTTGGTACTGTGTGTTCTCAAACATGGTGCTTCTTGCCCCGCTTCATGGGGGATTAGCACACCCACGCCTTCCTCTGCCCAGGACCCCAGCACAAGCCGGTCCCACACCCCTTCAAACCTGGGATTGCGTAGTGCGCGCTCCTGCGGCCCCAGCCCACGTGCAGCCATCTTCACAGGAGGGAACAGAGGCAGCTGTGAAGAGTCCAATTTTAGTTGCATTGGGGAAGCTGTGATTTCTCTGCTGCTTGTGCAAAGAGCTGTGAGAGCCAGTGCTGAGCAAAACCAACTGGCTTTTCTAGTCCTGCAGCTGCCCTAGTAGCCGTCTTGCTGGCTCCATTGCGCTTTACGGTGTCCTCCTCGTACAGTCCATGCGGGAGCATTCGAGTCACTTCCCCAGCAGGGTTTCCAGCCGAGTCTTCCCACACTTACTGAGGGGACAGGGAGAGGCAGGCATCAGTTTTGTGCTGGATCAACCCAATGCCATTTACCACATGTTCATTTTGACATTGTTTCCCAGCGACTGGGCTAACGGAGCCATGCCTTGTTCCAGCTCAGCTATCACCTGCAAGCTGCATCCAGAGACCAAGCAAGCTGCATCCCGAGACCTCCAACTGCAACAAACCTCCGACCAGAGGGACGCGAGGGCTCGCTGCTGCTCTCCAGGGCTATGCCACTGCATGCCAAGTGTTTATTACCACAGAATTCCCTTCACTTGCAGTCAGATTATTTCAATCCAAGTATAGCCTCCTTCCCTCCAGTTCACACCCCAGCTGCCTGGGGGGGGGCAGGCTCCAGGGCCAAGAAATACAGCCCAGGGAGAAGACAGACATCTCGAGTCAAGGGAGCTGTTTTGAGAGCGCTGTGGGAGTCCCTGTGCCACATGCTGCCCCTCGCCATAGCGCTTTACCCTCCCTCCAAGGCAAGACCGTTGCTCCCAGGCCTCCCAGTCCCAAAAACACTCACCTTGAAGCAGATGCCTCGTTCAAGAAGGCTCTGTGTGCCCGGGGGGCAGTTACTGGTGTCCCACAGCTGCGCTGTCAGGTGCTGGGTAGTGCCAGTGACTGGTAGAGGGGGCTCCATGGGTGGCACATCCTTGCATCCACTCTCCCCGCTGGCAGTCAGATCCAGCCGTGCCAGCCCCCAAGGACAGCCAGCTCCCTGGGGGGGACATGGGGCAGGAGGGGCAGTTGGCAGCTGCTGTCCCACAAGAGCTGGGGCAGAAGCAAGGGAAGCAAGAGCTGTGCAGCTTGTGCATCACCCTGATGGTCGGAGGCACAGACCAAAAGGGTTTTGACTCAAGAGGGAATGGCATAGGACCTTCCCAGCATCACCTTGGATGGATCCGTGCTGCTCGTCATCATCCCGGCCTTGAGGCTGGAGGGGGACACAGAGGACAGGCAAGTTACTCCCTGAGACATGGCAAGCAGTACCCCCAGATCCCCCCATGGCTCCCACGGCCCCTCAGGGCTGTCCCAGGGCTCAGGCAGCTGGTACAGGGCTGTCCCCTGCCCACCCACTGCAAACCCTGCAGTCACCAGCTCAGGTTGGACATGAGGAGAGACCAGAGGGGTCCAGTTAGTTCAGACAAGGACCTAAAGCACCCTTGTCCTTGACCCAGACACTGCAAGGGCCAGGTCCACCTCAGAGAGGGGGCTGTCCCCCACTGTCCCAGGCCAGCTGTGTGCTGAGCTCCCCCCCAGCCTGCCCCGTACGTACTGCATGAATTTGCACTTGGGTCCTTCTGGGCAGAAGCCGACGAGGTAGTTGGCACACATCACCCTCCGCGTGTGCTTGTACTTGCACAGGGGACCTGCCGCGCAGAGGAGAGGTTCCTGTTTGTGGGGACACAGTACCACACCCCCTGCCCTGCAGGGATTTCGGGAGCCCAGCTTTCCCCAGCAGTCCCGTTCCCCTTCAGCTCTATGGGGCCTTTGCTGCCCCAAGCCCAAATCCCCACCGGGCACCCAGTCCCACTCTCAGGCAGTCCCCAGACTGTGGTTCACCCCACTCTGGCTCAGTCCCCTCAGAGGTGGCAGGAAATTGGGCCAGCAATGGGGTCTGGGCCCCCTGT